CAATACTAAAAAACCTACAAAGAGTCTTAGGTTTACAGCAGATGACGACTTAGCCCTTCTAAGAGAATTTGTTGCTTGTTGCCCTAAACCCACTGGCAGACGTTGAACAATAAAGTACTGGAAATAAGCACTTTAGCCCTTTAGTTTTAAAATACCTAGGAAACAAAACAATTTCAAAGTTTTAAATTCAAACTTAGGTTAAGTTTAAATAGCGGACGCGACGCGATCAGAATTCTTTCCGATCCGATAACTATAAATGAAGAGAGTTAATACCACCTCACGTAAAGGAAATAACACCTGGCCTTATTAACGTCCATGCACGCTATTCGGTTTAGCGATATCTCTCTATTACGCTGTTCATTGTTATTTTACGCGAGTTTATTTTTGCGCACAGGAAATTTGACTCGTTTGCACATCGTCATAAAAAACAATTTTCGTACCACGAATTAGGGACAAGATTTTTATCTGTATACTTATAGGATACCTAATCTGCGCTTATAGTAAATTTTATAAATTTAACAGAATTGTACTTTTATATGAATTACTCGTATATCCTACTAATATGTAAAATTGTTCTGTGTATATAATTATTCACAACCATACAGAGTTCTGAAACTAGCAGCTTCTAGTCTGCACCACCAACAAGCGTCTCTATGAAATATGATGAAAATCTATAAAAATATGATGAAACACTGCATAATTTGAAAGGATACAATGCTGAAGAGTTGCTTTTTTAACCTATCACATAGACTAAAAAAGTAATTTTATTAGTATTAGTAATTTCATAGTATTAAATGCCAATAAAACGGTTTCTTCATAAAAATAACGGTTTTATTACATTATTATTAAATATTGCATCGTGTCTCGGTCTCGTTCTCAGCCAAGAATTTATTTTTCTCTCGATTTCGGTCTCGGTCTCGGCCGAGACTAAAAATCCAGGTTCGGTCGGATATTAATCTCCATTGTCGAGCCGCTGATTATTTTAGTTTTCAAATAGCGAAATGAAACAAATTAAGATATGCATAAAAAATCGGTACCTATTAAACTCGACAATTTTTTAATCTGATCCCGGTTTTTTTCGAGACAAACTTTCATTCAGAATACCAGCATCCTGGGATTCTGGGATCGCGAGATTGAACTCCCTAGTAACCCATTATAATATAATCATCATATTCGACAATTACACAATAGTCAATTTTTATATAAAAACCACATATTTTTTAAGAGAGTGTCTGATTTCCCCCTGAAATTACAAAATCTGAAAATACAAATGTTGAGCTATATACTGAAATAAAGAACTTATTATAAGCAAGTAGTCTCGAACTTCCAAGACATAAATCTATCTTTAAACAGTTTCCTGTCTCGAAGGGGAGGAAAAGACTGAAGTAAAACCGCATGTTTTCTAATTGATTTCCGATAAAAGGTTTCGATGTTTTCCTCCTCCTTTCGCGTAATATCGCAAAGTGTCGACCTGGGAACCGGGCAGATGTTCCCTTTGTTTCCCGCTTTTCCTCGGCAGGCTTTGCGGCATGAAAATCGCGTCAAGGCACTCTAAAGTTCTCGGCGACAAAGGAGGTTTTTGACGTCAAGGAATGACTACGGTCTGATAAAAAATATATATACAGGGTCCGGCAAAAGTGCGTCGGGCATCTGTAGCTCCTAGAATAAAGAACTTGAGAATTTTGTTTAAGTGCAAACTTAAAATATGAACGAAGATGTATTTCAGGAAAATATTTTTATTCCTATAGGGTGGCTCAAAATAATGTGAGCGGATCGGGGTGATTTTTTTTAAATTAAATACCCTGTATATTATTGTATTTATGGCTTACTTTAAGATTACTTTACATAATCCTAAGATATGAGTAAATACATATATTTCGATAGTTTCAGAGATATTAATAAATTAATTATGTAATATTAAAAATAATAACTGTATTCCGGAAACTTCGGCAGCATATCCTGCAGATATAAAAATAAGTAAAAAAGTTCGTATAAATATATGTCCTAAAATGCTTAGTTTCGGAGATACAGGTTGTAGAAGTTTCATTTTTATTTCGATTTTTTCTAAATGATTTATGAAGTAACGTCAATATTTGGATGAAAATTGGTGTCTGGGAGTTTTTTGACATGAGAAATTTGATTTTGATGTCAATATTTCTCCTACTAGTAGAGGGCGCCACCTACATATTTTTTAACTGGTTTGAAGAGTAATAACTTTTCGTCCGTACCTGTATAAAATTACTGAGTAAAAAAATATACATTTACAACGTTTTTTACGTAAGATAGGTCTCTTGGTAAAAATTGCTACAAGTAATGGTTCTCAATATATTTGAAATCAAAATTATATCAATACCTATCATCGACATAAATTAAACATATTGACTATAAAACTTTGAAATGTTTTGATGCCAAAAGTTCAACAGAAACTCTTTTATCATCATTTTTTCGCAGGAAAATTTATGATTAATTTAAAAAAATAAAAATTTCCCAAATTTATTATTTCATTCAAATAACTATCTACTCAACGTGTTTATTTTTTGTCAATAATGACATGTATTGACTAATTTCATTCTAAATATTTTAAGAACGGTTGCTTGTAGCGATTTTTAGCAAGAGACATATTTTACGTAAAAAGTCATGGAAATATATATTTTTTACCTTAGTAGTTTTATACAGGTACGGACGAAAAGTTATTACTCTTCAAAATAATTAAAACACTTTGAATAAGAAGACTAAGGAAAGAGCATAATGCTATCCATATATTCATGCATTCATTTTAGCTTTTATTTATTACTTGTCAAAGATTAGATGTCAAAGAATTTAGATACGTTAATTTGACTTACCTGCTTCAGTAGAGTATCGGATGTTTGTGTTAATAAATACTTATTATCTATTTAGAGAACTTATCTATTTTTATTAGAATTATATATTTTTATAACAATTTTAATAACTACCAACATTTATTCACAACGTAAAATAAAACAACAAATTATTGAGTGTACTCCACGTCTACCCTACATCATAGTTTTACATTTTTTAAATAAAATTAGAACGACACTGATAAACCGGAATTTAAGTCGGCCATATTTGAGGCCCATCGCGGTGTACCTAAGATTTTTGATATGCTCCTTCCTTAGTCTCCTTATTCAAAGTTAAAACACATGTAGGTGGCTCCCCCTACAAATAGGTGTCATATTGACATCAAAATCAAATTTCTTATGACAAAAAACTCCTAGATACCAATTTTCCTCAAAATATTGACGTTACTTCAGAAATTATTTGGAAAAAATCGAAATAAAAATGAAACTTCTACCCCTGTATCTCCGAAAATAATCATTTCAGGACATACATTTATAGGGACTTTTTTACTTATTTTTATCTGCAAAATATGCTACCGAAGTTTCCGGAATACAGTTCGGACCACCCTGTATATTTTTCAGCCTGTCTTAAAGAAAATCTTAAAAATACAAGAACTGTACTGAAATCAAAACTATAATAGGTAATTACTTTAGATGGTCTACACTTACTTTGTTATAAATATGGTAATCGTAAATCATACAGGATGCTCAAAATTCTACGCCAAACTTTCTAATATATGAAATAATTTTTCTTTGTTATTTCAAATGGAACACCCTGTATATTATTTTTTCAATTGATGGAGAATTGAAAAATGAACATTTTTTGGATTTAGAGTATTTCAAAATTTTTAATGGTTTCGCAGATATTCGCGGTTTTATATTTCATATTTCATATGGCATCTTCCATAGAAAAATATTCCAGTGATAACCCATTTGCACGTCCCCGGTGATTCTGCCGACACTTTTTTAGCATTAAATAGTAACTTTTACCCTCCAAATTTCATTCGAATCGGTTAAAGCACTTGGAAGAAAATTATAATCCAAAAAAAATGAAGAAGATTTTAATCCCCTCTACCTACGAAACAAAGCAGAATCGGACCTATGCCTATGTTAATATGAAAAATAAATTTTATTTTTACGAGGGGAATACCCCCAAGATAGATGGCACATGTTTTTTAAAACACCCTGTATGTGGATTAGTTCATTATTTATTAGCTCTATTCAGTTGCAAAACCAGGTGAACCAGACCGGTAAACTACGGTAAAGAATGGTTGCTGAAAAACAAAACAGTTTGGTAAAATACTAGAAATGTCAAATGTTGATGTTTTCTAAATTTCAATACCTTTATTATAAAATGTATCTTTTACGCATTTATTAATAATTATCTTTTGCAAGGAATGTGATATGTGATCTTTTGTTTTTCAAATGTCATTTTTGACATAAACTTGAAATATTTCAAAAACGGTTAATTAGGCATAAAACGTAATAAGTCTAGGTCTACATGAATCTGTCCCGCATCGTCCGTCGTTCCGTCACTCCAAATGAGCTGTAATTTTTCAAATAAACCAATAAAATTGCATAAAATTCGCATGCATGTAAACTCACACACAATGTGTTAGTTTATCTACCTAGTTCCATATAAAATAAGCAAATTGGTAGAGTATTTCCGAAATCAATTGGAAGTATTCCAGACGATATCGGCAAAAGCGCCGACAAAGACAGTGCCGAAAAAAGAGCTCCAATTTATTCCAATTGACTTTCGAAAAACTATAGCCAGTTTATGGCGTAACTAAGTACATATTTAAAAATATGTAACTTAAAATAAAACAACTAAATTTTAATGATTTATTTTTTTTTCTATATTACTATAATCTGTGCTATAATTTATTCTGTGCCTGTAATTGGCTTTGGCTGTTGATGCTGTAAATTTAATAGTAATAATAAATAAAAAAAAACAGAAATAAACATTTGAGGAAATATATAGTTATTAGAAAACTAAATCTCTCCAACTACTTTCAAGAAATAATGATTTTACATTCTTTCATATCGACCGATATCGACGTGTGAATCTGGCTTAAGTAAAAAACAAATGACTAACGGCTAATTTTGACACATTTCAATTTGAACTATTTTGTCGTTTCATTTATCCTATGCTGTTTTACTGTTTTAAATCACTTTCAATCTACCGTTTACTTCTTTCTGTTACTATATAGTTACTCCAAAATAAGTAAATTTCGAAATAATTTATAAAAATGTACGGAGAACCAGACTTGGTTGATTTATTACCGGCATATTATTGTAATTACATGATGCGTTCCAGGCAAAATCCAAGCATATGGAAAAGTTTGTATTCATATTTTAATCAATATTAAGTTTTCTCATTGGTCTTTTTTAGCAATTTGTACCCATATATTTGTTATAATTATTACTAGTTGTATATGTATAGGTATATTCTATTGTAAGTGCATTTTTTTAAACAGTAAAAAATAATTAAGAGTAAAAATTTAAAATATTACAGACTATCAGAATATTTATTTGCAAAACCATATTTTTCCGCAAAGTGAACACGAAGAGCTGACAAAAACTGTAGAATATGACACTCCCAAACCTAGTAGTCCACCTGCAGAGGCTTTTATAGATTTAAATAATCAAATAACTAAGTTAAGGAAAGATTTTGATTCTATAAAAACATGGAGGTAACCATTTACATTACCATGAACTTGACTACTTCTATAAAGTTAAAACTTCTAGATCAGATATTAATGCTGCAATCACTAAAATTGAGTGGGAGCAAGATATTAAAATTAGACACGCAGTTACAAAAGAATTAGATATTCACTCAGCTGATGACGTAGGCTTACTAGGTTGATTTTCGTTTTTATTTGCGTAGTATCTTTGTCCAGGATTGTTTTTATATAACTGCAATAAAACCTAGATTTTTTTATTTTAAACAGATTATGCTGCTACTTATTCTGGCGGGTCGATTGCAGAAATATCACCCGAAACGCGTCCATATCCGACCCACAAACCTTTGTCTTTCTTTAAGCTTGTCAACTTGGATTTATTAAGTAGCCCTGATGAAATTATTAGACCTTGCAATTTGCCAGGAAGTTGCTTTGCATTCTGGTAAGAGTATAAAAGAAATAAGTAGTAAACAATAGTCTTTATGAAGCAAGTTTTATTAGTATGAAAAAGTTTAAGGAGTTACAACAATATTGTAATACAATATGTTTTATCTTGTATATGTTTGTTTAATGTTAATATGCAATTAATGACTTTATTTCAGGGGTAGTACTGGATCCATTAAAATACGACTTGGAAGATCAATAGAAGTGGGATCTGTAACTTTAAGCCATGCTTCAAGATTACTGTTGGGTTTACAAGGGGTGTCTAGTGCTCCAAAGCAATTTGCAGTACAGGTAAGTAGAGTCGCATTTCAGTAATCGTGTTCCTTCCAAGGTATTTTTCATATTAGTAATAGGTAGGTACCTACCTATAATATTTTTCAAATACACTGCTAGTGGTGCAACAAATATTCGCATATTTTTTGATATTCGCATTCGCAAAAATTTATGCGGATATGTATAAATTGGTAAATATATGATAAATTGGTAAAAATATATAAATTGGTAAATTAATGAAATATGAATTTCTTATAATTTTTAAGATATAATCTTGTAATTTTATCAATTCTAATTTTACAATATGATCGAAACAAAAACGGTGTCAGCAATGGCTATGAAATGAAGATCGCTGTCATTTTATATCCAAATTATATGGAGAATGTCAATGCGCGCGTTCGGGGAACACAGCGGCTGACCGACCGTTTTTGTGTGTAAAAAGAGACCGTTTAACAGCGCTTTCAGATGGAGCGGAGCGTCCGCGACGGACCGTCCGCGATTTCGAGCAAGTACCATGAATTTATATAAACAATTTCACATGGGCGCGTATGCTCCGTCCGACGGAGTTCGTCCGTCGACTTTCTTGAAAAAAACACGACGGACGGTCCGCTCCATCTGAAAACGCTGTAAGGAAGTCGCTACAGCGCTTTCAGATGGAGCGGAGCGTCCGCACGGACCGTCCGCGAGTTCCATGAGTTTAAATGAACAATTTCACATGGGTCGCGTATGCTCCCTCCGGATAATTTCGTTTGACGGCTATCTTGAAAAAACAAGCAGCACAAAAAGAGCACGGACGGTACGCGCACAGTCCGCTCCATCTGAAAGCGCTGTTGCTCAACCACTCAGCTGCTGACCGTCTCTGAACGCGCGCAACGACTAAAGAAATACAATGACCACGTAACGCCCATACACGGGCTGCAGCAGAATTTGTGATGTTAGACACCATTTATTTGGATGTAACGGATCAGTCATCAGCGACAATTTTACCGATTTTTAATAGTTTGTGTGTAGCGAACGTTGTATAAACGTTACAATGGTGATTAGTCGTTCGGCTTTCTAGTATAAAAACCGCAGCGATAAGAATGAGCCAGGAGTTACGTGACACAGGTAACAGGTAAATTCAAAAAAGGTAGTTTTTTTCGATCATACGGTATTAATAATTATAACCAAAGTTAATAATTGTTATTGTTTTGGTATTGTAATCAACGTTGCAAAAATATTTAACATACATCATCTGAAGTATTCTCTTAAACTTTTATCCTAAATTCGTAAACTCAGTTTTTTATAAACTTTATTATTTGGCATATTATACAGGGTTAATCGAGGGGTTGTTTTTTATCTTAACTTTAAAACACCCTGTGTAATAATTTCGTTTGTGAATTGTTCTGACCGTAAAATTATATTTTAAGAAAATCTACACACGAAATTATTACACAGGGTGTTTTAAAGTTGGGGTAAAAAAACAACCCCTCGATTAACCCTGTCTGAATATGCCAAATACTAAAGTTTATAAAAAACTGACTTTACGAATTAAAGTTGACATAATTATCTACAGCTAACTAAAAAATTCATAAAAATAGGGCCCCATACTATTGCTAATACCTACTTATAACATTCAATTTTATGTCTGTAATATACTAAATTGCACTAGAATATCTATTTACAGTAAAACGTTTACTAAAAATTAATTTTCAAGCAAATTTCCTTTTAATCAACAGGGCCATGTATCTGACAAGGACAAATCTGGTACATATTTAGGCAGATTCACTTATAACTCGATGGGAAAACAGCATCAAATTTTTCAAATCGAGAAAAGACACACGGACCATAAAAAATTTGAATTGGTCACTCTCACTATATTGAGCAACTATGGGAACGAGGAGTTTACTTGTGTGTATAGATTCAGAGTCCACGAAAGAGCATTAAAGCAAGCTGATGCTACTCTAACCTCCAAAAAGAAACCTGAAAAAGAGGGCAAATGCTGTTAACCTAAGAGTAGTTTATTGTGAAATTAAGTAATACAAGTTGGTAATCCTTTCAGTTATATAAGATTTTCAAATGAAACTATTAATATTCAATAAATGTTTTATATATTTTTTAATAAAACGTCTATGAAAGTCTCTCCAACGAGAGAATACATGACAGTGGCATTAGATGTCTGTCAATATAATTCACAGGGAAATTTAATTTTCTGTCATTTTTTGGGATGTCGCATATCAAAATTTATACAGACTACTTATACTAATCAAGTACAATTCAGAAAATAAAATAGACGTACCATATGATTGAAAAAGAGGGGCGTCAAGTTCTTTATAAATTCTATATCAATATAAAGATCAATACATACATTATACAGGGTGGCCCACCTCATTCGCCTCGGTTGATTATACGAAAACGGAAAGATGTAGAAACAAAATATTTTATGGGTATATGTGGGGAGGGAATGTGCACAATTTAAAATTATTTTGAAATGTACAGGGTGTTTCAGAACTAAGATCCATACCAAAGTTATATTTTTTCTTATGGAACACCCGGTATTTTATTTCATTTTTGGATTCTTGGGTCCAAAAAAGGTATTTATTATAAGGGTTTAATATGTTTAAAATCTTTGGTTTTTGAGATATTTAAGGATATTTAAAAATGCATGCTACATTAGAATAGATTATTAACACTCTGTACATTGCCCTTCACAACTAATTCCTGCGCTGACTTTTAAGCCAGAGAAATAAACTTTACTGAAAAATGTGATTGCTTCGTTTAATTTATACAGGGATACCAAAAATTGCTGGTCAATTTTAAATATTTATTTTACATAAAAACTTCGTTATTTAAAATACAACAACCTGTATTTTATAAAATAAATCGAAGCAGATTCAAATGCTCTTTCAAACTGTATTAGGGTTTCCTATACCTATCTAGCTCAGATTTTGAATAAAAAGCAATTTTTCAATAAAATGGCAATCAAGATGGCTGGTGTCGCCATGGCAATTTTCTAGTTAAAGTTAGTAACTCTTTTCAAAATCGACATTAGTTTATGGACATTATTATTAACAGTTTACTTAAATTTAGCTACAGTAGTTTAATAAGTAAGTATTCATTATTTTATCAAGAAAAATAAAGCAGTATCTGCTGGTGGAACGAATGGATATGTTACCAGTGATTTTATTTTGTGAGGAAAATTGCTTCATCGCCTCAAGGGCTCATGCTCAAAGATATCCAAATAGGAATCTTCCTGATAATCTTTCCTTGAAAAAATACTTTTCTATTTCGCAGAACTATGGTAGTGTGGTTTATAAAAACCTAGTAGGCAGAAACCTGTCGTTAGAAAATTAATTTGCCGTAATTGGCTCTTTTATAGAAAATCCATATAGGTACCTATCTACAAGTGAACGTAACATAAATGAAAGCACTACTTCTTCGTTTTTCTTGATAGAATAATACATACATATTTAATAAATATTATTTAAAAAACTACTATAAGCAAATTAAACAAAAATAAGCTGCTATAAATTTAAATAAAGTCCATAAACTAATTTTGATTTTCAAAATAGCTACTAACTGTCACTAGAAACTTGACTTCAGCCATCTTGGTTGCCATTTTATTGAAAAATTGCTCTTTATTTAAACCTGCTTTGATATATTTAAAAAAATACAGGGTGTTGTATTTGAAATAAGGAAGTTTTTATGTAAAATAAATATTAAAAATAGACCAGCAATTTTTGATACCCCTGTATACATTAAACAAAGCAATCAATTTTTTCAGTAAAGTTTATTTCTCTGGTTTAAAGGTCAGCACAAGAATTAACTCTGAAAAGCAAGGTACACGGCGTTAATAATCTATTCTATTGTAGTCTGCATTTTTAAATATCTTTAAATATCTCAAAAACCAAAGATCTTAAACATATTTAACCTTTATAACAAATACCTTTTTTTTTGGGCCCAAGAATCCAAAAATGAAATAAAATACAGGGTGTTCCATAAGAAAAAATATAACTTTGGTATGTATCTTAGTTCTGAAACACCCTGTACATTTCAAAATAATTTTAAATTGTGCACATTGCCACCCCACATATACTCATAAAATATTTTGTTTCTACATCTTTCCGTTTTCGTATAATCAACCGAGGCGAATGAGGTGCGCCACCCTGTTAATTTTACATATGAAATAAAAAATAAATGTCATTGATCGAATTGGTAACTTTTTTATCATATGGTACATCTTAGCTTTAAACAAAAAAAAGTCTTAAACAAATAATATAAATATTACATCAATTCAAAAATACAAATACAAAATATAATAATAATAATAGCTCCCGTATGTAGCGTTTGACGCCTTGGGAGTAGCAAGGTACAGCTTGCTATACTAGAGCCATTCGGTATACAAGGAAGGTAATGTGGCTAGCACTACGCTTCAACCGCCTATTATTACCTCAGGATTGTGAATCCCAAGTACTCATTTAAGGCTGAGTCGACCTAGGTACCCAAACTTTAATAAAAATAGTCGGCTGATGAAATGCCGGGTGTGGGAATCGAACCCACACCTTGAGATTGGTAGACGAGAGCCTGTACCTCTACGCCACCGGCACAGGCCACCGGGCACCTCAAATAAAAATATAAAATTATAAATCATGATGTAATTAAAATAATTCTATAATAATAACTGACTAAAACAGTTATTCTTGAAGGCCTTACCACTTAAGATATTAAGATTTTCTCTCATTGCATATATATATATATATATATATATATATATATATATATATATATATATATATATATATAGTAACAAGTTAAATTGTATATATATATATATATATATATATATATATATATATATATATATATATATATATATACAATTTAACTTGTTACATATGGAATTGGAGCAGGAATAACAGTAAATTCAGTTTTCATATCACTAGTTTCCTTTTCTTCTAAATTAATTTTTACAGTGGCTCTATCTTCTGATTCATTTCTTTTGCTTTTAGCGCTTTTTAATTTTACTTGTCTCTTGCTGTTTTGTGGGTGGTTATTCCTAAAAAAATGAAAGGCAAAAATAATACAAATTATAATTTTTCTGACCAAAACATACCTGTGCATCAGAGCATGTGTTTTTAATGTAGAACTTTGACTAAAACCCTTATTACATACAGTACAAATATATGGACGTTCTCCAGTGTGAACTCTACTATGTTTTTTTAACACTGAATTAGTAGTGAATGCCTTCGAACAGATTTTGCATTTGTACGGTTTCTCGCCAGTGTGTGATCTTAAATGTATTGTTAATTGTCCAGTAGTAGCTAGTTTCTTGCCACAAACTGTACATAAAACTGACTTTTCTCCTGTATGAGTACGAGTGTGACTTTTTAAGTCATTTGATTGCCTAAAAGACATACCACAGCAATCACATACAAAAGGCCTCTCATTGGTGTGTTTTCTCATATGAACTTTCAAAATGCTCTGTGACATAAACCATTCCTGACAAATTTTGCATTTAAAAGACTTGAGGCCTGTATGAATTTTTTGATGGTAATGTAAAGCTCCGCTCTGGCGAAAACCTTTACCACATATGGAGCAAAGATGAGGCTTTTCACCAGTGTGTAGCTTCATATGTTCTGATAGGGAGCTTGGATATGGAAATTCTTTTCTACAGATTGTACAAATATATGCTTTCTTAATATAATTTTTGTCATGTATCCTCATATGACGACGTAAACTTTCTGATGTTAGGCACCCTATAATATTTTTAAGTTGAAGTTAAAAACCAAAAACAATAATTTAAGCTTATCTAACCTTTAGAACATTTTGTGCAAGGAAACGGTTTTCTCTCAGAATGTCTATATTCATGTTGTTTCAGCAAATAGGCAAATATGAATTGCTTTCCACACACTCCACACTGAAACTTCTTCTCTTCCAATTTAGCATGAGATCTTAAATGGACTTTTAAGTGTACCTAAAATATAACATCTTACTACCATGAAGAAAAAGGAAATATTTAAATAAAGTTGTACTTCTTTTAAAAAACTTTGATAACATATATCACACTTAAAAGGTTTTGTATCATCATGAGTTTTCTGATGTCCCAAGAACTTTGTTTTATTGCTGAAAGTCATTAAACATTTTTCACATTTATATTTTTCTCTTATGGGTACTTCTAGCTGGGATATTTCAGACGAGTATAAAATAGGCTCCGCTTTATCATCCAAATCAGAATCTGATAAGTCTTTTAGACTGTTTTCTGAACAAGATTCTATATTCTGTTCTAAAATATTACCTAATTTTTCACAAATACTGACATATCTTAATTATTACCTTCACATTTTATTGAAAGACTATTATCTTCACATTTATCACCCCATATTGAATCATTAATATCATTTTCATCCAGTAAGGCTTCCTCTTCGATCTTTCTAAATTCTCTTATCGTTTTCTCTTTTTTTAAAAGTTTATCTGATGATATACACATGAGTATAAATTTGTTAGCAGATTCAATTGCATTAGTACACACAACACACATATTGTTTGGCAAATAGTCACCTCTTAATAACTACAACATCTCTTTAAATATTTCAAATGTGTAAGTTTAAACATAATATGTATTTTTACCTCAATATTTGTTAGCCTTTCAATAAAACTAACTACATTATCATGAGGTAAGAGAACAAAAGTGAATATATCAATCATGTGCTCTGACTTTTTTAAACAAAATCTGCAATTATCTTGATAATTTATATCCCTAATTTCCATTATTTTTGTTGTTTACCTTTTTAGATGCTTTTTAGTTGTGGACAGAAACTAGGTTAAATTTTTTCATTTAAATAATTGTCTTTTGTCATTGTTGTCATTATTGACAGAAGTTTATTGGCTGTATGTTGCCAATATTATGTTTAATTCCTCAAAAAAACAGGACTATTTTAATGAATGTCCCGAATTTGGATAAGTAAATATATTTTAACTTAGTAAGATTTTTATGAATGAAAGGTTAAACTTTAAAATTCAAAATATATATTTTACAAATGTTTTTTTTCTCATACATGTATGGTAAACAATATTAAGCAGGCATATGCATGTGTATAGATCGCTAATAAAATATTTATTTAAGTAATATCACAGTTGATAACAGTATACAAATACAGATTGGCTTCAAAAATTGTTTATATCTTGTATTATCATTATCACAAACCATTTGGAACTATTAAGCCAGCTTGACGCTATAAAATTATTTGCACAAACATTCTAGTGATTTTGGAGCAAAAAAGCATTTTAAAATTGTCTTCTAACTTATACTCACAATTAATTGTTTAATAATGATAATGGATAAATTTATGGGATGGTTTATATTTCTCAGATTAATATAATAGAACAAAAATATAAACCCTCTGATAAACCTATTATAAATTATTACAATAGTCATTGCGGCAACAGCGTATCCTGTTTTCAGTTAACTGTCAATTTTTTTGTTTACAAACATAACAAGCAAATTTAGCAAATTATCAGAAATGACACTGTGCAAACACTTTAAATTCTTAAAAAACTGCTTGGTTTAATGTAATTGTGATTACATTTAAATAAAATTAAGTCTGAACAGATTTTAATTTATATTAATATATGAATAAATCGTATTAGTAAAATGGAAATGAAATTATTATACAAACTGAATCAAATTAGCATAAGGAACGTTTGTGGACTTTGCTTAAGTGAAGAATGCTTGCGAAAAATATCTGGATCAAAATTACCTCAAATGATAGACTCGTGTTTTGAAAATCATGTAAGTTTTCTTAATTATAAACAATTGCTAAAGTTTGTAAAATATCTGTTTTTAGATATTGCTTAAGAAAAATTTGTTAAAACACATATGTACAGCATGTTTTCGGCAAATTATTCGGTTCTATACATTCAAGCAAAGAGTTAACAAAGTACAAAAAATTTTGGATACTTTCCTTCAGGAAAAATCAAACGAATTATATGCAACAAATAATTTCAATGACCACACTGTAGGTCAGAGCATTGAAGTTGCAGATAATGATATATCTGATTTAGAGAAACTTAAATTACAAGAGTTGGAAAATTTACACGAAGAAATTTATAAAAAGAATATCGAGATAAATGAATGTGCTCAAAAAATTATAAGTTATAATTTTGGACCTCCTCCATTAGTACCTATTCAGTTAGATAGTTCAACTGTCAATGATAAACCAGCTACAGAAAATATTAGTGAAGAAAATATAATACCTTTACCTCCATTAATCCCTTTAAAAACATATAATACAAACGATGATCATTGTCAGATGATCTCTTGTGATATTTGTTTACAAACATTTAATAATATGAAACTATTTCAAGACCATAATTGTAATAAGTTATCTTGTAATGTTTGTAAAAAGAGATTTGCAAATCGTAATGAACTTATTATACACCTAAGGGGTCATAGAAGAAAAATTAAAGATTATCTTTGTAATATTTGTGGCAAAAAATATTTATCTTCCAGTACATTTAGGCAAGTTAATTAAGGTAATTAATTAATTTATTTATAGTTAATTAATTTGTATGTAATTTTTAGAGTTCATATGAGAACTCATACTGGTGAAAAACCTTTTAAATGTAACATATGTGATAAAAAATTTGTCAGATGGGCAGGTCTTAAGATTCATATGGTTGTACATGAAGAAACCCAAAGATATAGATGCCAAACTTGTGGGAAAGGATTTAAAGTATTAGAAAGGATTTAAACTATTACAGCATGGTATTATGGTATATTTTTACACAATGTTCTTCCAGATTTCCTCAAACTTGTACAGACACGAAAGGTTACATACTGGAATTAACAACTATTCTTGCAACTACTGTGAGAAATCCTACAATCAACTTGAACATCTTACACTACATATTAGAGTACATCACACCAATGAAAAACCATTTTTATGTAGCGAATGTGGTTAGTTGAGAAATTTAATTGACAAAAAAATTATATTTATGCAATTTACATTATAGGTAAACGCTATGTAAGTTTGCAAAGGCTTCAACGTCATGCATGGATTCATACTGGACAGAAACCTTTCCCTTGTCCGACATGCCCGAAGGCCTATACAAATCAAATGGATTTAAAAAATCACCAACTTAGAATGCATGAAGATAAACCTACTAAAAAGCTCTTTGAATGCTCACACTGCTGGAGAAAGTATAGTCATCTTTGTCGGTAAAAAAAGAAAAGAATCTATTTGTGAATGAATCTGTATATATTTTATTTCGTTTTAGGTTAAGAAAACATCTGAAATATCACGGGATCCCAGTTACACAATATGAATAATTTATATTGAAAAAAAATTAATTTTTTCTCTTGAAAAAAAGTATTTTTCTTCCCCAATCAGTTTTTTGACTCTCCTTTAGTTTAACTAAATTACATTCATCCAAGATGATTTTTTCAATTTCATCTTCAACATTTTGTTGAATTGCTAATTTTTTAAATTCTGGAAATATATAATCACTTAACTTCATCCTTTTTACTGCAGCTTTATAGCATTTCCATGGTTGGGGTTCGATTATTAAAAAGTTTGATATTTTTGACACATTATTAAGAAACGACTTTAATCCTAAATCTCCATGATTTAAATGTATCCACATAGTAATAGAGAAACATGTCACTAAATCAAATCTCTCCAAGTCATTATCTTTTAAATATTTAATAATGGTTTGATAGTTCATGCTATCCATTATATCTACACAGTTGAAGGAAATATTGTTAGACTTATTTTTTTCAATAGCTCTCTGAATCAGTTGAGGGTCTATATCTATTCCAATTACTTTACAATCAGTTATGCCCAAGATATTTGTAAAAAAATCGTATAATGCTACTGTAAGATCTCCAGTATTACAACCAATATCTAAAATCTCCCATTTGCGGTTTTCTTCAATACTCTCTGACCATATATCTTTTGGCAAGAGAGATATTCTTTTTTCGGGTGAGTTGAATTGATAGTAGTTTATGAAGTTTCCAAACTGAACAGCACCTGGATTTCCATTTCTAAAGCTTAGGTTTTCCTCTACCATATTTATGAATCAAACAAATTATAGCAACACATCAAGTAACATTAAATGCATATGTCTCCTTTAAATGTGCTTCATTAGTAAAGAACGTTGAGATTATACAGAATGGTTGAGACAAAGGGTTGAGATTAGTTAATAGAATTACTCGAACAAGGTAAATAATAAATTACAACAGAAAACATAATGCTAATGTGGTAAAATGTAGTAAGAAGGGTAAAATAAAAACAAAATTTTACATTTCTTTAAGGTTAGGTGTATCGACGTCAAAATAGAAAACTGTTTTGGGATGTTGCCAAAGTTATTACTTTAATATTGAAAAAAAAAGAAGTTTATATAATTCGTAATTCTCTGGTATTTATATGTTTTTTAAAATGTGTGATTAATGACAAAGAATATTAAAATCTAGAATGAAATACATCTAATTGATGTTTTTATTTTATAATAAAATAGGTATGATCAGAAAAAGTTTATTTTATTGCTTTTCTTGACAAAATGGCGAATTTAATTTTTATTAGGAAAAAAATTGGAATAAGTGGAATAAGTATGTTTTTTAATACCTGACCATAAAAACAATGATTAAAATGTTAACTAATTAGGTAACAATCGTGTTTTTAGGTATTATATCAACCTTAATTTATTACACAAAAATTAAGACAAATGCAACTTTTAAAATCTTGCTAATATGGTATATAATTAAAATAATAATTGACATTGCTTTGGATTTTTTACTCTAATTTGGGTTATTCTAAGTTGGTGGCTACTGATATATAATTGCTAATAAAGAAAAACAGTTAGAATTTAACAAATTTATTTTTTAAGTTATAAATATATTTCATTTATACTAAATTATATATAGCATCATAAATGTAATACATAGTATAATAAATATGACTGGGATAATTTGTAAAATTATAATTATTAAAAATTAAATTATTTATAATAATAATTATAAATAATTTAAAAGTTTCAAAAAAAGTCAGAAAATCTCCGTTTTCAATTAAAATCTTTATATATTAGTAAGAATAGTATACATAAAACAGGCCAAATGGAAACATTTGCATAATAAATATATTCTTAATAAACTGAGTGTCATGTAGGAAGCTTATAAGATGTGACCATGATCAACAAAAATTATATAAAAGACAAAAGGCAAGATGGTCATAAAATGATTGAAGTTTTGTATCACCGAAATAAAGTTTCTTTTAATTTCTTAGCACACATGGCACTTTTCATAACACACACTCTTAAATAAATGTTTAACCAAACCAAATTATTCTTCGTCAGACTTTCCAGTTTCATCATACTCCTCCTCTGCCTCTTGTTTACTACTATTAGCTGCATTTTCAGCTTTCTGATCATCTGTCTCATTATCACCTGCATCTTGTGAAGGAGACTTTTCTTTCACTGTTTCTTCTTTACGGAGGTCCTCTGTAGTCGATTCTACTAAATTCTCTGATACTTCTGGATCATTCTCCGTATCTTTTGTTGCCTGTGCAGTCTCTTCAGCTGCCGGGGAAGCTTCTCTTGAAGCACTTTGATGGGAAACATCTCCATTTTCTAATTTTACTTCAGCATTTGATTGAATACCATTAGTGTTAGTATCATTGGGGGATAGTTTTAAGAATTTTTCCATTTCATCAATTTCATTTGCCATATCAAAAGCATCAAAATCCTAAAATTTAAAGAAACCTTTTTAGCTCTTTGATGATTCAACATTACTAATGTTGCTAAATGAATTTCAAGGATGCTATTATTCATAACGAAATAATATTGTGTGAAATATACTTTTTTTCTATAATATTTAGTACAAATCATTAAATAAAATACTATCTGTGATACTATATCATGAAATCCAAAAGGTACTTACCCCACAGTATTCATCGTCATTAAATATTTGGGGAGGCAACGGATGCCTAGGATTTGGATCTCCAATTGTACTCCCCAATAATTTAGAGTTGTTTTGCATGTATTCTTTTGCTTCTTCCATATTGGGCTCGGCAATATCGAGAACTTCATATTCGACTTTTTTCGAATCTAATATTAATAAGACCTTCTGTTGACGCTTTTTCACCTAGGAAAATTACAGGTGTATTGATATGAAACACATCTAACCATATTCAAGATCAACTTTCATACAAAAAATATCTTAGTTACCTCTTTATTACCGGATATACCGCTCACGTAAACCTTCACTACCATTTTGGTTATTAATTTATTCCTGGGATATCTGTTTACCTTTAAAAAGCAACTATCAAAATATTTTGTCTGACAGGTATATTTTTGGTAGTGCGTGTAGCGCCACACCTCTCAATTTTATTTTTAAGAACTTTCTCGCTGTGACCTTGGGAATATTAAAAAAGAAAATAAAAATTAATAGATAAAATCTGTCTAAAATTAATGAAGTCAATTCCCAGGCATTTCTCAGGTGAGTAATGTCATCACAGAATGTCATTTAACGTCATTAATTAATTACAAGAAATTATAATTTTTTTCATAACCCTAAAATCTGACACCGACCACTGACACTGACGTATCTGATTAGGTTTTTTCCTTTTCTCTCTAATGACATTAATAGAGATAGAGATACGGTGTTATATTAATTATTTTGCGACGTTGTCTACGTGTTTATAAATTACTATATTTGAAGATATTGTAAGTTTAAAATTTGTTGTGTTTAAAATAAGTAAAAGCAAATACAAGTGTTCATGACTGAACTTACATTAGAAGTTTCTAGAAAGCTACAATATCCAATATCTACATCGAAGATTTTTATTGTACGATGCTTGTTCATATTCATCTCTTAGTTCGCCAGTCTCGCTTAAATAACATTCCGTACTGCCACAAAGTTTTATCGGTTTACAAGCAAGCGGGCATAAGCGGGTATTGACTATTGGCTCTAATATAATATTACAGATAATATGCTCTAAAATGTTTCCGCTTTCGTTGCCTTTTTGAATATCTACCACCAATTCTTTCCAATATTTATCCAAGACTTTTCAAGTCAATTTTTTTACTCATTTAAAAGAAATAGAATATCTGGAGAGGCGGAGAGTTTAAATTTAAATTATCATTTAGAAATACCTTAGTTTCTCATTTTCACTTACTCATATCTCATATCCAGTAACTTCGCTTTTGTGAATTCATAAAACCATATCACAAACAAATTTATGGAAATTTGAACAGGAAGGGTATGTAAGTATACAGGGTTGTTCACCACTTACGAGTATTGTAGCTAAACCATTAGATTTTTAAAAATTGTAAGTTTTGGGATCGTTGAAGGACCATTAGAGCTACAATTTAAATATATATTTACAAGATACAGAGTGTCCCAAATAAGTCAAAAATATTATAGTTGTATTTTTTTTTAAACGGAGCAACCTGTATATTATTCTATTTTTAGATTCTACGATTGAAATAAAGGTAAATTTGATTAAGGTTTATCACACTTAAGTCTTACCGTTTTTGAAATATTTTCAATTTTGTGAAATTGCACTAAAAATTTTAAGGCTTCATTTCTCCAAGGGTATCAAAAATTTTTATTTCTAATTATTTACTGAAGTTTACTTATTGATCAGATATTGTGTTGCAATAATAAACTAAATACTACCTTATACAGAGTGTCTAAAAATTTATATTAATTAATTACCAGATTTAAACAGCAATAACTTGTTTAATTTAAATGGAACACTCTGTATTTTTTACGAGAATCAGATGCAGAATTTAATTGTCTATCAAATTGAATTTTTACACAATACCACAATACCATCTTTTACCTATCTTTTCAAGTTTTCGTGCAAGAAAACCTATGGAATATTGACATTTTAAATTATATGTAACAAATTTTCAAAGTGTACAGATATTAATATTGTTGATATAGTTTGCTTATTTCATTAAAAAATAAAAAAAAATGTTTAAATATTTCTTGTTAAAGAGGACCAATTAATATTATGCCAGTATTCAAATACGTCAATTGACTGTTTACGTTGATTAATAATAATTGCTCCAAATACTAAAAAACTGAATTTTGTATTGTGTATTAGACAGTGTGGTAAAAAGTAACACCTTATAAATTTTATTCCATTTTTTGACGATTACTTATTTATAACAGAAACGTTCATTAATTAATTGTTTTAATTTATTAATTAAAACAATTAAGTTATGTAATTAACTGGGCTTGCAATATTATTATTTTTACCACCTGTACATTTTGTACATATGTTGCTTTAAAAAATCTAAAATGTCGATATTCCATGGGTATAAATGAGGTCTAAATTATAAAAAAATGCATTTTCTACGAAAACTTGAAGAGATGGGTAAAAAATAGTGTAATACAATTTGATAGACAATTAAATTTTGCATCTGATTTTCGTAAAATATACAGGGTGTTCCATTTAAATTAAACAAGTTATTGCCGTTTAAATCTGGTAATTATTTAATGTAAATTTTTAGACACTCTGTATAAGGTAGTATTTTGTTTATTATTGCAACACAATATCCAATCAATAAATAATCTTCAGTAAATATTTAGTATTAAAAACTTTGATACCATTGGAGAAATGAAGCCTTAAATTTTTTATTGCAATTTCACAAAATTGAAAATATTTCAAAAACGGTAAGGTTTAAGTCTGATAAATCTCAATCAAATTTAGCTTAATTTCAATCGTAGAATCTAAAAATGGAATAATATACAGGGGTTCTATTTAAAAATAATATATAATATAATAAATAGGTAAATAATATAAAAATAATAAATAGGTTCTATTTAAAAAGAAAATAAAACTATACTATTTTTTACTTATTCGGGACACTCTGTATCTTGTAAAATTATTTTTAAATTGTACCTTTAATAATCCTTCAACGAACCCAAAACTTACAATTTCTAAAAATCTAATGGTTTAGCTACAATACTCCGTGTCGTATGTGGTGAACAACCATAGTGAACAACCCTGTATGTTGGATAAGGTACTTAATAATAAATGAAAACAACAATTCAGGCTCATTCTTTATTGACAAATAGCAAGGAAGGTACAGATTACAGCCATACACATTAGAAAGAACATCGATATAAAAAAATATAAAAATAATATCTTACAAGTTCATTGAAACGTAGCTGAACATGGTATAAATATGTTTCTAGGTTTTGTCAGCGACCAACAAAATTGCAAGACGAAAAAGAAACAAATCACAAATAAATAAAGTTCTAAAAGTATCCAATAACCAGTCCGTAGCGCAGTCGTCATCTGAATAATTACAAAATTAACTTAGTGATATAAGTTAACATTATTATAAAATACATTTTACAGTAATATACTGGCAAACAAAACATCAGGTAACATAAAAATAAATTACGAAATAAATAAACAAAGCGTTCTAAATGGATATATGATGTACTAATGACTAAAATTGGTTTGTAGCTCAAGCGGATGTCTTCAACTTTTTCTAAGTTCAAAATCTAGTATTTGTAGCCGTTTGCACCTCCGCCGCCGTTGCCGTTGCCGTTGCCTCCTGGGTATCCACCTCCACCGCCACCTCCTCCTGGATAACCTCCTCCACCGCCTCCGCCGCCACCACCACCTCCACCGCCTCCTGCGGCTTCTTCAGCGGCATTTTCCTCCAACGATTTCAAAATTTCTGGTGGAATAGGGGGTGGCGTTGGCAGATGGTCACCTAAAATCATCGATTGACTTTTATAATCAGTAGCAGCTATAAGATACACAGTGTTTAAAATACTAAATGCATTTCAGAAAATAAAAAAAAGATTGAAGAATATATTATTAACATCTCCGATGGTTGGTTTGAATCAAACAAGAAGTGCCATTTTTTTTCAAATTTTCAACATTGAAGGACTCTAGAGTACGGTATCCAATTTTCTAGATCGGGATCCCGTTTTGAAATCCCGGGATTCGAGCCTATAATCCCGGGATTGACAGATGATCAGAATGCGAAAATGTAATCTAAAGAAATATTTAATAAAAATGCAGCTACATATACCAAAAAGAAAATGAGAAAAGAGCTTCATTAAAATAGACAAAACAGTAATGTTCAATTTAGTAAGTAAAAAAATATAATTCTTGTTGCAAAAAAAATATAGCAAACACGGAAATATAACTTTTAGATATTGACGTTCTGCTAGCTTAGTATAAATAAAATATGATCTTGAAAGACTAAAGTGTATAAAGTCGAATCATTTTAGATTGGGCATTTAAATTTTTCGAGATCCCGGGATTTAATATCGGGATTTTGGGGATAAACATACATCTCGGTTTGGAAACGTTTTTTTCCCGCGAAACACGTTTTTTTCCCGCGATCTTAAGGAACTGACCTATGTCGAAAACACTGCGACTTGTAAGGCCTATTGTGTTTGCAAATTTTCACGTACTACAGTTTATATTATATTACTAAAGTCAATGTGAGTGTGATGTGTTTTTAATTTTTTAAAATATAATAATTTTAATTATAAAATATAATTTTAATTAAACATGGAGAAAATAGAGTATCTTGCAGTTATAGAATTTTTATATTTGGAAGACGAGTTAGATGCCGTGTATGAGAACTCTGCAACGTAATTTACAACCGTGTAAATTTTAGGAAATTGAATTTCAACGTGGCCGTACCAAAGTGGGAGAAGAAGATCGACCCAGAGAGGTCCAAACAATGCACACACTAATAATCTAATATTCTGTTGACACGGTTTAGACGAAATAAATTGAAGAGTTTTGATGTCGAATAATCATTGATTATCACTGATTTGGTTAGGCAATCAAATCAGTGGGTTTCTAAGAGGGAAATAGCTCCAAGTAAAGCTAAAACTGGAAAGAAAAATATAGGGTATATTCCAAACAAAAATACTTCGGATTACAGACAACATAAAATGGCGTAAATCTCTGTTCACAAAAAGCAGGGAAGCTTATAATTATTCAGTAGTACAGGCCTATTTGCTGTGGTTTAATAGGTCTTTTATTTTTTGCTTTAAGATATTACTTACCTTTTGGTACAAATCCATTTTCATCTGCAGTATATTCTATTTTGATTTCAGTACCGTCTGGTGCGGTGTATGAGAATGAACCTACAGCTGACTGAGCCTCATCTTCACTACCTTCGTTCTTGAGCTCTCCAGTTTCATCAGCTTTGATTCCGTTGCTCGTTTCATAACTAAGAAAAATAAATTAAATCATTATAATGGAAAGAATCGATAGAATCTTAGAAAATGTTAGGCTTTTTAGAAGCTCGAAAAGATATTATGAGAAATATAGAACAACCTATTCTCAGACCCACATATAAACAGATACATATAAAATTTCATCAAAATCGTTCAAGCCGTTTCGGAGGAGTAAGGTAATAAAGAGTTAAAAAAAAACAACCCCTATCAAAAAATAGGGTTTGATGGTAGAAGGGTGAAAATTTAGGGTTGTATGTATTTTTAATGCCAAATCATAAAAAAATTTAAAAAAAAATATTGCCCAAAAAATAAAAAAATTGGGGTGGGCCACCCTTATAACTTAGGAGTATAAAA